ATGAGATGTCACCAGCGCTGGGACCTCAAATGGTGACATTGTGAAATACATGGGGTGCAACTTGTGGGATGCCAATTATAGTTGGCATACGAACCAAGTGTAACCTCGGAGTTGCAATCTTGGAATGCAATGTATGGGGTGCAACACTTGGCGTGTATGGCTGCTGTGCGAATCTATGGGTTACCATCCATCGGGTTCCTACCTCTGGGGTGTAATCGGTGGGATGCAACGTATGGTATGAAGTCCGTGTGTGTATATATATATATATATGTATATATATATATGTAAATATAACATATAAGAATCATGCTACTATGAATGTGACTAATAACCGTATTATTAATATCATCATTATTGTTTTTAGTATTCTTATTAATGCCATTATTATTTGCATTATTATTATATGTATTGTGAAGGCCTCAGGGCTGGTGCCGCCTAACCTGAAGGCGGGACCTCTCCTAGGGCCCCCGCTGACGCCGCTGACCTGGGACCACCCTCCCCACTACAGACGGGACCTCCCCCGGGACCCCCGCTGCGAAGCTCCCGGAGGTGGTGGTCGCCTTGTCGCCTCAGGGGGAGGCGGGGGGAGGGGCCTCCGGGACCCCCCAGGACCCCCCACCCCGTGTCCACAGGGGGGACGGGTTCCTGTCCCCCCTGTCCACAAGGGGGACTGGGGAGGGTAGGCAGGGGGGGCATTGAGTTCCGCGGAGGCCACTTGTCCGCAAGGGGGACCAGGAGAGGGGGGGGGCTGCAAGCTGCCCCAGGATCCCCTCCAAGAACCCCCCCCCCGGCACAGAGGGTACCGGGGTCACCCCCCCCAAGTTCCCCTTTCCACAGGGGGGACCAGGGAGGGGAAAGGATGGGGCGCCGGGACCCCTGGGGGGGGCGGTTGTCTGCCCCGGCGCCCACGCTCTCCCCCCCCCTGCCCCCGCATACCCCACCCCGTACCCCGCTCCCCCGTACCCACCTCTCCTTTCAGGGAGGGGCAAAGGCGAGGGAACCGATATAACTACGACGATTAGTTTCTGCGCTCGTTCTTCAATTTCCTTGAGACTGCGGCGACGACGACGCAGACGACGCGTCTCACCCACGCCGAAGAGCAGGCGGGTACATATGTGTTATCTGTGTATATGATATATGATCTCTGATCTATGATCTATCATATACGCTTTAAGAGTTGCTTATACATACATACGCATGTATATGTGTGTGCGGAGCGGAACACGGGGTGCGATGTATGGAGTGGGATCAATTGGTGTAGGACCCCAGCTGGTGGGACCCTGTGTGGTGGGTTTCTATCTGGTGGGACCATGTCTGGTGGGATGCCCTCGATCGGTTGCAGCTCATTGGAAGCTGTATATGGGGTGCATTATATGGGTGAGGCCCCGTGGGGTAGGACCCTATGATGCGGGACCTGTCCAGGTGGGAGTCGATTAGTGGGTAAGACGTTACTCGGCTGGACCCCGTGGGGGCGCTGGAAAACTGCTACAACTGGCTACATGCCTGGCACCACCCAGTGAGCGGGAGGCCACGCTGGATTTGAGTGAGACGGCACCCCAGCGATGGATTTCGGTAGAGACAGAAACGAAAGACGCAGAGAGGCACGAGAGAGAGGAGGAGGAGGAAGAGGAGGTGGAGGAGGAGGAGGAGGAGGCGCAAGAGGAGGAGGAGGAGGAGGAGGAGGAGGAGGAGAAGGAGGAAGGAGGGCATGGAGGGAATGGGGGAGGAGAAGGGGAGGAAGTAGCAGCAGTGCACTACGTAGAAGGAGGCGAAGGAGGAGGGGAAACAATCAAATATGATACGCAAAAGAGGAGGGGTGGACGATGAGGAAGCAACAACGAGTACGCAAAAGGGAAAGGAGAAAGTAGGGAGCAACTCTTGTGCACAGGATTCTGATTGTTTAAGTCTAATGTTCGTATGGTCATGTGGATTCATATGGAGCGCGGAGCACGCGAGGGGTACGCCAAAGGAATGCAGTAAGCAGTATGATCGCGCCCCCATTGTGGCAATGTCCTCGTCGATGCTACAAACCTATGCTCCTACAACCCTCAGATTTTGTACAGAACTCAGTGCTCGTCAAAACCAAAAAGCCGTTCAAACTATGGTTGCACCATGCTCTACATTTGCACAGGCCTTTGGCCGTGTGGACGGGGAGGACCTTCACCGGGCATGGCACGCGTGAGGGGGGCGCAGCTGTCTGGGACTCGTACGCGCCCGCCTTCGTCGGGACCCCTGCGAGGCACGTAACGTTTGTTTGCTGCGTTGACGCGGTCCCTGGTCAGTTTGCGCCCGCGCTAACTGGAGGAGGAGGAGGAGGAGGAGGAGGAGGAGGAGGAGGAGGAGGAGGAGGAGGGGGAGGGGGAGGGGGAGGAGGAGGAGGAGGAGGAGGAGGAGGAGGAGGAGGAGGAGGAGGAGGAGGAGGAGGATGCAGCCAGGGCCCACCCCGCCACGAAGCGCGCGACGAGTGCTCCTGGGAGAGCCCGTGGTCGCCCGCGCCGGCCCTCGCAGGGCCCTGGTGAGGCCCCCCCCCGCGCAGAGCCCGCGAGGGGTGTGCCGACGAAGGGTTTTAAGTCGGGCCTGTCCCTCGACAGGGGGAATATCCAATAATAGTAAAAAAATAGTCTGGGGACTATTTTTTCATTATTGTTTTACCATTTGGGAAATTTCTGGGTATTTTTTATTTTTCGTCGAAAATCCTCCTGTAGGGGGAACAGGCCCGACTTAACGAAGGCCCCTGGTCGCAGGCACGGGTGCGCCCTCGTGGGCCTGCGGTCGGATTGGGGCACACGACAGGGCGCGAGCGGTGTGAGGAGTGCGAGCTCTGGAGTGGTCGGCGGCGAGCTCCGGGCCCTGCCCTCGCCGATCGGCGAGGCGGGCAGCTTGGTGGGCGGCGGGGGCAGGGTTCGGCATTCGTCGAGCGCGGGGCGAAATCCGAACCCCACCCCCGCTTCCCATCGATTGAGAAGGATCGATGGTTGGTGGGGGTAGATTTCGGATGTCGCCACCTAAGTTGGCCAGGTTCGCGTGTGTCTGCCCTGACTGGGGCCGTGGCAGGGGTCGACCTAAAAGGTGTTCTGGCGATCTCGTGGGCCGCTTCAATTCCGACTTCGTTTTTCAACACCGGCGGATCGACCACAAAACGAGGGACAACGGAAACATCACTTCGGTCGATCCCTGGGCCGTGGTTGAGGCCCCCAGCGCTGCGCCGCCGAGCGTGAGGGATGTGCACCAGACGGTCTGGCGGTCGCCTGCGCCCGTCTGCGCTGTGCTTGCCCATGGGGCGCGGAACGCGTGGGACTGAGATGATGCCGACATGTTGGCCAGGCTGTGACGAGGAGGCGAGCGTCGGATGGGGGGAAGGACGGGGCTCGCTTCGATTCCTCCGATTCGACTCCGACTGCTTCCGGTTCCGGTTCGGGTCGACTTGGGATTCCGATGTGGGCTCCGATTTCTCACTGGAAGCATACCGGAAGCATACTGGCCTGCCAATTTCCGCCGATCCGGATTTTCCCGAATCGGCTGCCGATTTCTGCCGATCCGCCGATTCATTTCGATCGCCGATCCAGTTTATCGATTCGATTCTGGGCTCTCCTGGAAGGAAGGAGTGAGGGAGATGCGCGCGACGTGCCGCTGAAAACAATGACCCCAGCCCTTGGCTCGGTCGGGCTCCAATCCATGCCCGACCCGGCTCGAAGGAGGGGAGAGGGAAGGGGAGGGGGAGGTCTAGGCGCAATTCTCCATATCTCCCCTCCGCTTTGTCACACGCGGCGGCGCGGGGAGGAAGAAGATCGGGACGCCAGAAATGCAGCGCAAGATCAGGAAGGTTGACACCATATTCGACGTCGTGGCGGTCTGCCGCCAGGGGGGGGGATGGGACGAGCAGGACGGGCGTCGTGTCGATCGTCAGTCATTATCTGCCCCCTCTTCGCCAGGCGCGCCTTGCTGCTGCTCTCTCTCTCTCTCTCTCCTTTTTTTTTTTTTCTCTCTCTCTCTCTCTCTCTCTATATATATATATATGTATGCCCTTCTCGCTCTACAGAAATATGTGTATACATGTGCACATGTACATGAAGCGTGCATGTCTGTTTATGCATATATATATATATACACATATGTATGTGTATATATGCATGTGTGCATGCATGCCTGCATGCATGTAGGTAGGTATGCATGCATGTCTGCATGCATGCATGTATGCATGCAAGCATGCATGCATGCACGCACGCATGTATGTATGCATGCATGTCTGTCTGTCTGTCTGTCTGTCTGTCTGTCTGTCTGTATGTATGTATGTATGTATGTATGTGTGTATGTATGTGTGTGTGTTATGCATGTATGCATGCATGCATGTATGTATGTATGTATGCATGCATATATGCATGCATGTATGTATGCATGCATGCCAGTATGTATGTATGCATGTATGTATGCATGTATGCATGTATGCATGTATGCATGTATGCCTGTATGCATGCATGTATGTATCTATGTATGCATTTCTGTATGTATGTATGTATGTATGTATGTATGTATGTATGTATGTATGCATGTACGTATGTATATGTGTATGTATGTATGCATGTATGCATGTATTACGTATGTATGTGTGCATGTGTGTACGTGTGTATATGTATATATATGCGTGTACGTCTGTCTGTCTGTCTGTCTGTCTGTCTGTCTGTCTGTATGTATGTATGGTTGTGTGTATGATTGTGTGTATGTGTGTATAGGTGTACGTATGTATGTATGTATATTTATGTATGTGTGTATGCATGTATGTACGTGTGTATGTAGGTAGGTAGGTAGGTAGGTAGGTAGGTATGCACGCATGTGTGTGTATGTATGTATGTATGAATGTATGTCTGTATGTATGTATGTATGTACGTATGTATGTATGTATGTGTATGTGTATGTGTATGTATGTATGTATGTATGTATGTATGTATGTATATATGTTTTTAGTTATATATGTATGTATGGATTGATGTATGTAAATATGTAGGCATACATGTACGTATGTATGAATGTATGAATGTATGTGTGTACGTGTGCATGTATGTATGTATGAATGAATGTATGTGTGTATGTGTGTACGCATGTATGCATGTATGTACGTTTGTGTGTGTGCTCTTCTTGTTGGTGGAGAGGGGGTCGGGGCCTGCAGTGGCCCTCAGCAGGCCTACGGGAATGGACACGAGCTTCTCTCCGATGGAACTGCTGCCTTTTGGCACGGGGCAACGTCAGGGGGGATAGGCTCAGGAGGCGGGTGCATCTACCCCCCTGTCGCCCACTGATCGCCGAGAGGGGCCTGATGGTCCTTTCCCGCTCAGGGTCGTGCGGATTCATTCTCGGGGGCCTATCGCCGATCTATCGGCGATGTATCGCAGATTCCAGGTCGATGCTCCCCCTGAATCAGCCCCCCTATCGCTGCCCCGCATCACCCCCGGGTAGTGCGGCTTTTAGAGGAGGGCCAGTCGAGACAACGGTGGTCCGCTCTGGCATTCTTTGCTCTTGGGGCTCATGGATGCTTCTTGTCGCCACGGCTGGATGTTCTTCGGAAAACAGGTCAGCCTGGACCCCACGAGACGCCTGGGGACAGCCTCTGAGCGGACATGCTCGCGTCCTGAAAAGTCACGACCGGGGGATTCGGCAGTTTTCGGCCGCTGGGGCCCCCAGGACAATCCGAAAAACTACCAGGGGGACCTGGCGAGGGCCCCCAGCCTGGGGGCCCTCGCCAGGTCCCCCTGGACAGTCCGAAAAGCTACCGGGGTCGAAATCCCGGCCCCGCCGATGGTGGTCGGGACTTCGGGGGCCCCGTATGGAACAAATCAGGGCGCCGCATGGCTGGACCCCCTTGTCGGGGGCAGAAAAGAGGGGGGTGATGACTAGGGGGGGGTGGATATCATGGCGGTGGGCATGGTATTTCCCCAGATTTCATGGCGCCCCTTCTTATTTTATTACGTCCCTGGTCCCCCCGCTGGGCCGCGCACACGCCGCCGGTCATGATTTGCACCCCCCCCCTCTTGGACACCCCCCTCTTGGCCGCTCCCGACCTTGGCAGTGCGACTCCTCCCGTGGGCTCGCCGCCACGGCTCGCCTGATCATCGGCAGCAGGTCAGATGAAGGCGGCAGGAGAGCGTTGCCCATAGCTCGACGGGCCACATCTACGCATGGGCTTCCGTACACCCCGCTCCCCTTCTCCTCTCTAACCTTTTCCCCGGCGGGAGCCAGGCTGTGAGACCTCAGCCTTTTTTTTTCGCGAATTCGACGACTTCATGCTCAGCTCGGCGCGGCAAACACCGCCACCGTGCCAGCAAAAGATCGGAATTCGTGCAGAGTGGTTCTACCGATGTCTCCGACAGGGCTCGGTAGCGCCATTTTGGGACCGTCGCAGGAGCAGCTCTACAGTGTTACGGCGTGGTGAAGCCTGTTGGAGGACATTGGGGCCCTCTTGGGGGGCCCTACTTGGGGCCTGTTGGAGGTATCGGGCCGTCTTCGCCGCGATGTCCCCCCCGCCCCCGAGTTCTCCCGATACGTATCGGTTGGCAAGTTGAGAGCCATCTGGGCAGTTCTTGAGACAGTCTTGGACTAGAACGTTTGTTCAGCTGTATTGGGGGATGTTAGGCTACACTGGGGCTGTCTTTAGGCCATCTAGGGGCCGTCTTGGGAGCTTAGTGGGCCTGTTCTGCAACCTTCCTGGGGCAATTTGAAAGAGAACATGATCGACCCTCGAAGCATTTTATACACATATTCAATTTCGAACATCGGCACGGATATATGGGTACTTGTGTACATCTATATATATATATATATGTATATATAGATGGACATGTGTGTAATTGATGGCATAGAAAGACATACGTACGTAGAAATGATTCAAGGCAGCCAGTTTGGGCGATCGGCGATGGCATTGCCGAGAGATCGACGGTGATGATGCCGTGCCCCGTCGCGTCCGAATTCTGACCCGAACGGATCTGGATTTTAAGCTCGACTTGCCGCAGCGCACCGCTCGCCCAGAGCTGGTTGCAGTCGACACGTGCGGGGCGCGCAGTCCGCTCGAGCTCGAGGTCCGCCGAAGTTCTGAAACAGGACGCACCGAGAGGGGGCGAACGGGCCTCGAGGCTTATGATGTTCCAACAGACTTTAGCCTTGACCACCAGAAAGAATTCCGAGCACCAGGAAGGTACCGAAATTCGAGTGTTTTCGCGTATCGGGCCCTGGGAGGCGATACTCGTTCGATTTTGTTCCAATGCTTTTCTGGTCGGGCGAAGAGAACTATACACATGCACCGATCCTGGCAAGGCCCATCCTTGACCCAGGATCGGTGCATACACCTTCCTGGCCAAGGTAGAGGGCGTATGCACCGATCCTGGGCTCAGGATGGGCCTGGCCAGAATCGGTGTATGTGCATAGTTCTCTTTCCTCTATCTGGGGGCTCGAAATTATTTCTGGGATGTGGTCCTTACGTGCGATGGGAGCAGCCTGGCTCGAGGCGCCTGCCTTGCGGCCGCCTGCGCGCCCGCGCGCAGGGGGTGCGCCGTGCGCAGGAGATCCGCTCTCGGAGGGCCATCCCTTCTCGGTCTGGGCGAAAGGAATCCCCCCGCAGGGCGATCGATGAACGGTGCCTACCTGTACACGCTGGTCGTTGAAAGTAGATATTTTCGCAATCCCAGGTCCCAATCTACTTCAAGCGCCTTCCTACTTCAAGAATCGATATGCTTTTGCTGTGTTTTGTTAGAGGACCTGGACCCAATTCACTACATCCGCCTTCCTACTTCCTGTTTCTACCTACTTCTTCCGACCGACGTGTAAGCCGCGGGCAAAGGGCCATCCCGGCCCCCCACGCCGCGCTTCTTTTTGTAGAGAGGGGTTCACGGGTCGCCAAGACAAGGGTCGCAAGCACGTCCTATCTCGTTTTCCCCCTCCTCATCGTCTCGAGGTCTGCCTCTTCGCGTTCCACGTGGTGATCTGCTTCCCGGTGCTGTACTACGACCTGCTGCCCTGGTGGCTGCTGGTCGGCATTCAGATCGTCACGCGCACTTCTCTGGCAGGAGAGCCCGCGCGCCAGCGGCCTCTTCCTGCGCTCCCCTCTTCAGCCGGGACACCCGCTCCGCCCCAGATGGCCCCCGCCTCGGAGCCCCCGTGCCGCGGAGACCCAGGGGGCCACGGGGCGCGGTGCCCCCGAGCCCGGCCAGGGGGTGCCCAGGTGAAGTGGGCGGGGGGGGAGGTCCGGGTCGGACGGAAGGGGGGGTGCAGTGCTCCGGAAGGAGACAAGCCACACAGACACGAAGAATCGTCGATTCCCAGGATCTGATGGGAAGAGACGGGCAGTGGAAGGAAGACGGGGCTCCAGAAGTATGGAAAGATATTGGGGGTCCTGGGCTTTGTGCTCATCTACTTGTGTATCCCTGGGCCCCTGCAAATAACATACGTATGTGTGTGTATATATATACATCCCCATCGCCCACGAGCTTCCCCGTCCCCCGTCGAGTCGGCCGAAAAGGGGGGGGACAGGGAAAGGAGAGGGTGGGGGGGGGCATCTACTGCGCGCAACTGGTTCCGGCCCCGCCGCTGGCCGACTTCCTTGGTACGTGTTGGCGTTTCCGGCGCTCCCCCTTTCTATGCAATATTATTTGTTGTTATGGACCAGGTGCGCGATTCTCTACCACCCTGTTCAGTTACCCCCCGCCCTTGTCCGACCCGAGATCAGGCCTACGCTTTCTTCGGCGACCGCGCGGGGAACACCAGGAATATTAGCAATTTCGCTCCCCCTCCCCTGGCATACGTCCCTCTCTCGCTCGCTCCGCCCCGCCTCTCGTCATTATTCGTTGTGCGTCCAGATCTCCGTTTGCGCGTCCTGCTCTCCTTCGCAATGCGAATGTATTCATCATGTTGCGCCTGCCGACGTGCGGTTGGGCGTGCGCCCACCTGACCTAACCTGGCCTTCCGTCCGACCCAGGGGCTGGTCTACGCTTCCTCGGCGAGCCCCCCTCCTCTCCGCAAGGTTTCCCTCTGTGGAAAGTAAGTGCAGCAGGCGCCACGCCGACCTCCATCCCCAAACCCCTCCTTGTCGGCCACACAGGCAGCATAACTGACGTGGGACGTGTTTCCTGATCCTTTCGTACGCGTTGACAACTTTTTGCATGGTCCCAATATTTTTCAATCGCAGAATGATGCAATGATATCAATGATATCTGTTCTGGTGTCATGTACACTGGCTTTTGGTTTGAATCTCGAATATTGTAAAGCCTTCTCTTGTGGGTCTTCAGGATATCGGAAGGCATTGCAAAATCTGGCCAATCAACGTTTCTGATATTGCAACACGCGGGATGTTGCCAGCATCGTCCTGCATAGAAATGGAGGCAACCGCAAGACATTCAACAACAAAAACGTCCACGAGTTTGAGCCAGTGGTTTTGAACGATTGATCGATATTTCCCGTCATGCCTATCTTGACTTTGTATGTTCGTCGTTCTTCTCTGTCATTACCATTGTCCCCCATTTACCATAGATAATAATGAACTGTTGGTAAAAGGGGCCAGAGTTCCGCCATCGATCGCAGACTCCGCAGGCAAGCTATGACCAATAAGGTACGCGCTCTGGTTGTGTAGCCACTCGCCGTTCACAAATGGAAACTCGCTGCATTCCATGACCTAGTTGTCCAGTAATGCCGCGTCAACCAGATCACTAGCATCACTTGTTGATTCCGACTGCAAATCTGGGCTCAGAGTTTCAATCGATGTTCCCCGCACGGGCGTGTCTGCGTGAGTGTCTAGTGGCCGATGGCCTTTGACGCCGGTTGTCTCTCCCAGGCCACGGGTCAACGCGTGGTCTCGCCTGTTGCAGATCGGTGCACGTGGCGTTCCCAGTTTACTTGGCGACTTGCCTGGCGATCTGTCCAACCTCCCTCCTGCTCCCACTCGAAATTCCAACCTGGCCTGGATCATTTCAGGCACTTCATTTATTCAATTCTTATCTGGCATGCACACCACCTTCAAGGGGTGCCTCATATGTAGTGCCACCCGTGTTCTGTTGCACCCTGCTTTGAAAGGGGTCCAGGGGCATGGAGTGCTCGATATAGTCGGTGGAGGGAGAAAACAGTGTGCCGCGCCCCTTCTGGGGGTCGCCCAGGCCACGTGCTCCGAGCTGCCGCCGGCCGTGGCAGCGAGAGACTCCAGAGCCAGCCCAAGCACTCGAAACAAAAACAAACCTTCAAGGGGTATGCCGTGGCATGTTCAGTTCGGCATTGCACAGTTTGGTAACTAATGTGCGCTCCACCCCGCGGACAACCATATCGTCCGGACCCATCGTCGTTGCCCTAGCGGTTGTGCAGATGTTGCGCCATAGAGTGTTCCAGACACCCCCGAACAACAAAAATAGCGTGTTCCCATCATTTCGGTGACCCTGAGGGTCTACCGTAGGTGGTTCCATAGGTGGGTCTGCCACAGGTTGCGCCATAGGTGGCGCCAGACACCCCGTTGGCAACCAAACCGTCGGCTCCCACATACCACATTCGGTGTCCGAGTGGATCTGCAATTGATTGCGTCAAACGGTTGGTCCGCCATATGTTGTGCCATAGTCTGCACCAGGTACCCCAACGGGCAACCAAATCGTCCGTTAACAGATTCGGTGTCCCAGTGGGTCTGCCATAGATTGCGCCATGGGTAGGTCTGCCATCGGTTGCTCCATAAGTTGCGTCAGACACATCGTGGGCAACCAAATCGTTCTCCCCGCATTCGGTGCCCAAGCGGGTTGGCCACAGGTTGCGCCAGCGGCGGTTACGCCACAGTTTGCGTCATAGGTTGCTCTAGAAATTCCGCGGGCAACCAAATCGTTCATCACAGATCATAAGAAACGGCTTAAGCACCTTGTGTTTCGGGATTCGGAGTTTCATTGTCACTGTGAGAATTCTACCGTCAAGCAAACCAATGATCATGGTTACAGTCCACACCTTGTCGCTTACGTGAACAAGCCCAGTACCTTTGCAGCCAGCTTCCACACTCCGTGTTCTGGTCGTCTTGAATGCGAATTGAATGCTCTGGTTGTTTTCTGCTTCGTGTGGTGCCACTTGATCGGGCACCAGGGCGCCCACGTTGGTGGCCGTGTGCGGCGGGGATGTTGCATTTTCTTGAGCGCTTCGTGGTGCTGACCGCTGTGTATCGCTCCTGGGAACTACGATGCTCTTCCGACACGCCAGCCAAGTCCGAACGGCGACGAGAACGAGGAGGGTGAGGGAGAGGAGGACGACTGTATTGACTCTTGGCAGGCGCCGAGTGGTTGATTGAGAGCCGCTCTACAGAAGCATTGTGCTGTAATGTGTTGCATCAATGTTTTTACCTGTCGGTGTTGAACTTTCGTAGGAATCGTCGGGCCTCTTTCGTAATTCGATCACACCAGACTTGAAGACCACGCATTCGCTGTTGGAATTTAATTCCGTTGCTCCCATCACGCTGCACCGAGGAGTGGGACACTACCATTGCCATCGCGCCAAGGACGGTATCACCGATTGGGCCGATTGTTTCTTTGACATCCAGTATGTTGGCGCCAGTGTGATCCTCGCCGATGGTCATGTTATGGTACACCATATGTACACGGAGACACCCGCCGATGTAAAGCGTACGGTGTTCAATTTCATGTTGCAGCTGCCGCGCTTGTTGCGTGTGCCCTTGTATACGTTACAGAAGTGCTGGGCTTAGGCGCCACGATTTGCGTCGAGTGGGCATCCCGTATGGTGCTCATATCGAAGATGCCTGCGGCGAGTCATCGCCAACCACTGTTTTCTTGGAAACGCCGACGTGGCCGAACAAGGGCCGACATTCGGCCAAGCTGTTGGACTGGTTGTTCCCCCAGCCGCCAGCCGTCGTGGAAGCTCGTATCGGAATATTCGAGGGAGGGAGGGGGGGCGGAGCAAGAGATGGAGGATGAGGTTGAGCAGGCGGCGAGGAGGTGGCATCTGAGGGGCCGCTTAGGGGCCTCTTGAAACCTCTTAGAGGGCTCCGGGTGGCCTCTTGGGGCCTCCTCAAAGTCATCCTGGGTGGTTTTGGGACATCGTGGTGCCATCTTGTTCATCTTGGACGGTATCTTGCGACGTCTTGGAGGCAGTCTGTGGTCTAGGGTCGTCTTGGTTGCTTTGGAGGCCAGCTTGGCCGTCTTACATGCCATCTTGTGCAATCTCGGGGCCGTCTTGGGCATGCATTGGCCGTCTGAGGCTGTCGGAAGCCCGCGAGGGCGAGAACGCCGAAATCATTGAAACCCAACGCGAAATCAAAGATGTCTGTCTCTTGGCGCCCTCCGGGGGGGTGTCTTTGGAGCCTCTAGGCTCTAGGGTGTGTTGGAGGCTTGTTGGGCCGTCTGGTGGCCATCTTGGGCCACATTGGCCGACTGGTGCCTCGTATCATCATGGAGGTCCCATAGGGATGTCCTCGCCGTCTTGGAGGCCTCGTGGCGGGTCCTGTGGCCGTCGTGGGCCATATTGGCTGATTTGGAGGGCGTCTTGGATTATCCTGGAGGCCGTATAAGTCTGTCCTGGTTGTTTTGGAGGCCATATAGGGCTATCTTGGTCATCCTTGAGACAGGTTGCTTTGGTTATCCGGTTTTTCGAGGTGTGGGCGGCCAGCGGGATTTGCCGAATATGGCCATTGGAGATATTGTACCAGAGTGATAACATCTTGCACTCTACCCATCTATCCAAGCAAAGAGGGCGTTGGTTCGAAGACGCCTACGGCGAATCACCGCCGCCCCCTGCCTTTTGGAACAGCCTATATGGCCGATCGTTGCGGCTAGGGCTCGGCCAAGCTATCGGACTATGTGTTTCCCCAGCTGATGTGGAAACCCTCCAGAGAACACGTGGGGGAGAAAGGCGAGAGTGAGGAGAGGGAGGATAATAGAGAAGAAGGAGGAGGAGGAGGAGGCCCTCGGGAGCCTCGTGGGCCACTCCCGTGGCCTCCTGGAAGCTTCCTTGGGGGGGGCCCCTGTGGCCGCCAAGGGGCCATCTTGGAAGCCTCGAAGCCTCTGGGGCTGTCTTGGTCCGTCGGATGAGTAAACATCCGAATCCTTCAACAACCGAAGGAACATCAATGATTTTGGCCTCTTCGGACCTTCCCAGAGATTCTCTTGGAGACCTCTTGTGCTGCCTCTTGGGCCATCTTGGAGGCCTCTTGGGCGATCTTGAGGCCATCTGGGCACATCTCGGCCCGTCGTGGAGACATCTTGGGACCCTCTTGGAGGCCATCTTGGCTCGTCTCTGCCGTCTTGGACGCATCTTGGAGGCCATCTTGGGCCATCATGGCAGTCTTTAGATCATTTTGTGTGCTCGTTGAGGTCTTTATGCGGCGTTCTGGGTGGCCGGCAGGTTGGGTCGAAGGCCCACTGGGCACCTTCCAGAAAGACCAAGAACTACCTAAAATCTGGCACGCCGTTTATCCCAGGGCGGCCGATCTCAGAGGCCTTCGTCCCATCCCTCCATCGTGCCGGGGTTGTGGACCAGAGGTTCCTTGGAGGTCTTTCGGGCTCTCTAGGGGCGCCTCCTGAGTACTTCCTGGAAGCCTCACGGTGTCATCTTGGGAGGCATCGGGGGGTCTTAGGTCCACGCTGGAGAAGCGGCTTCGAGAGGTCTGCTGGTGGCGCGCCGTTTATTTCCTCGTCTTGGGGTCGTCTGGGAGGCCGTTCGGGCCCACATTGGGAGCCTTGGGGGCCGCCTTCGGGCGGTGTTGGGTGCCTTTTGGGCCGCCTTCGACACTGAACACTGCTGCCGAGGAGGGGAGGATGCTTAAGTCATCATAGTCTTGGCTTCGTGGCCGGCTCCGACGGGCTCCAAAATGGCCCAAGACCCAACAGACGGCCCGAAACGGCACAAGGCCCTCACCACGGCTCCGGGACGGCCCCTGAGACGATTGTCATCATCGTCAGAACAATCCCAGCACACCCTCACGGGTGCTGCGAAACCCGGAAAGGACCCATCCAGGGGTGTGTGGTCGTCTGCACAGTGGGGATGGTTCGAATAGTCCAGAAATCAGCGTTCGTGTTGGGAGAGGGTAGTGCGGATATCCCCCAGAGCGCGCGGTAGCGCCCCGGAATCCTGGACACCGGGAGGGTTATTGGGGATTTCACGATCTTGAATTCGTCGGAGGAGGGCCAGTCGAGACAACGGATGCCGATTTTATTCTTTTTGGGACTTCTGGAGGCTTCTCGTCGCCACGTCTGGATCCGCTTCGAAAACGAGTCAAGGTGGACCTCAGAAGGGGTGTCCTCGGATCGACTTTGAGTGGATTGGGGTGGGCGGGACAGCCGCCGTTGTCTCAACTGGCCCTCCTCCTAGTCGATATTCAAGTCAGTGCCAACGGCATGACTGTGGGCATGTGTTGCTTTGGCTCAGCCTGCTCTCAGTTCTCCGTGGTGCCTGCGCGCGGGGGCAGTATGTCCAGATGTTGTGTTCTGCAGGGGCTCCGGTGTAGCACGCCTGCACTGCCCCGGAGGCTACTTGCGCGCGCGCGTGGGTGCGCGCGCGCTCAGCGGGATACGGCCAGGCGACACTTGCCAAGTGCACGCGCTTTCGGATGTCACGTGCGCAAGCAACGTACCAGGGAGGGATGACAATGGTAGGGCGTGCACGTACTTACGATCGGTTTGCATAGCTTCTGTTACCCACTGACGCACTTCATATTATACGGCCCCGCTTATGATTAAGAAACTTCCTCCCGAAAAGCTGGCCCAGCGTTTCTTAACCAACTTGCAGGAAAGCTGGTTTAGTTTCTTAAGGGGTTGGTAGCCTTGGATCCTAGAAATGAGTAGTGCACGTTCCTGGCTCCAAATGCTGGCCCAGCGTTCCCTTAAGAAACTTCTGAAAAGCTGGCCCAGCTTACTCAATTGATAATTTTCTGAATCATATGTTTGAAGGGTTGTGCAGCCAACTTTTCTGTCAGAGTGTATTGCAGAGCCATCGTCTAGTCGGGAAGTTGATATTACTGCCTTTCCTCAGGTTCGGCGAGTTTTTCAGCGGGCATCTCTTGCGCTTCGGCACCCTCGAGGCAGAACCGTCTCTCCAACTGCTAGCCTCCCAAGTCGTTTGCCCGCCTCGTTATTGTTATGTCTAGAGGCATTGTCGCTCACATTGTTGCATACCCACTCGTAGTTTTCAGTGTGGCCATCACGTCCTCACCGTACTTCAAAGGAGCTGCGTTGCAATTGACGCCATAGCCAAAGATGTTGCCGTCACAACCTTGGTGGTCATTGTAGCGATCTTCCCTGCACTTCTGTATTGTAGGAGATATTCTGTCGAAGGTGCTGATTTCTGGAGCGCAGATTCCGCAGACTCTGGACCAATGTTGGACTGTCGCACTCAAAATATTGGACACGATCCTCACCACCAACTGTGCAGAGACACGCCTCAAGCATGCGAGTGATGATGCAGTGGAGTACAAGGGTGATGTCGACGCAGATTGCATGATCGTGATATATTGCATCCCCTGCTTCGGCTGCGTCTACTTACCCAGAAGGTCAAGTCGACCAGCTCGGCTCAGTTCAGGAAAGAGTGTGAGCTCAAGGCGATGCGGATCTACATGCTTTGCGAGCTATTTTTCGCAATGTACTGCAACAGGTTCAACCCATCTTCGAAAGGGCGTATGGGCAAAAGCCAGAAAGGAAGACACGTAACTCTGATGACATGCAAGGCGAGCCCGGCTCACCGTAGGGAGGGGCGGTCTCGGCAACGCGTCTTTTCTTGTAGATACTTTCCTTTTGGGCGATTACTTGGTGATGCCTTGGGTAGGGTTGCCATTTTCTTTGATTTGTTGGTGACTTTGCGGGGGAGGCGTCGGATTGCAGAAGCAGGCCCTGTGCGCCTTGGAGGCGTTAGCATCGGCGTAGTTTTGCACCGTTCAATTCCAAACTGGCGCCTTCGCGTGGGACATCGAATCCTCAGAAAAACCGCCCCCGGAGCCTCCCCAAGGAGGCCGTCAGATGCCCCCCTGTTTGTTTCAGGCGAGATCCGGGAAATTCCTGGGGGGGGAGGAGGAGGAGGAGGAGGAGGAGGAGGAGGAGGAGGAGGAGGAGGAGGAGGAGGAGGAGGAGGAGGAGGGACGAGGAGGGAAAGGAGGAGAGAGAAGAGGACGACGAGGTGAAGGAGGACAAGGGGAGTTGGAGGAGGCAAACGATGACGAGGAAGAGGAGAAGGAGAAGAAGGAGGACGAGGAGGAGGATAGGAGGAGGAGAAGGAAAAGTAGTAGGAGGTGGAGATCGCCAGCATGGCAACGGGGGGCGCCACGCCCGCCCGATCCTCACCCTCCACATTTTCATTCTCGCCATCCTGGCCCCCCTCCACATCCTCACCCTCCAGCTCCACGCTCGCCTGATCCTCCGTGGCATCGTGACGCCTGGACGGCGTGACGCAGTGAATTTCGGCTAGCGGGCAGCTCAGGGACCACGGGTGGTCCGTGGGATATTGCTGCTGCGGTCTGCAGGGTGGGTAGGGCGTGTCGGGAGCATTGTTCCGACACCATAACAGTCGGTCGTGTTGTTTTTACACTCGTTTCAGATGTTCGGGCCATGCTTGTTAGAACGTGTTGTGACATAGTACGTTATGTGATGTTACGTTCTCTCTTGCCGCGCCACACTGCAGTGAGGTATGTTTGGGTATGTTGTGTGCTTCTGGTTCTGCAATTCGAGGTGCATGTTTGTCCAGTCAGATTACGTCATGTTATGTCATGCCATATGTTGTAGGTATGTGCATAACGTCTCGTACAGCATCGTATGGTACATTCTTCTGTGTAGTGGTATAGTTGGTATTCGTTTGTGCGGTTGTGTTCTGCCATATCATGATATAACCCGCTCGATTAGATTGTCTTCAACTGCGCTCTATTATATCATGTGTTGTCGCACACGTTGCAGTAGCCGTAGCAGTAGTGGCGCTGCGATGTTAGTTATTATATGACGTGTTGTCATGTGCTATGTTCTGATATGGCATGCCATGTTGTGTTTTGCTATGCCATGCCGTGATAGGTTATGTGACGCCTTGTTCTGGCACGCTATCTTCTGTCATACTGTTCTGTTATGTTCGTTATGTTCGTTCGTCCTGTTTTGTTCGTTGAAGGCGCGGGGGGCGGGATTATCGGGGACCATCGGTGGACCTGGGGATCTGGCGGCCGCGGCATGTGGCGGCCCACGAAGGGATCCCTGCGGGATGCCCCGTGGTCCTGGGGATTTGGCGGCCACGCCATGTGGCAGCCCACCCGGTGTTCGTGGGGATTTGGCGTTCGCGGCGTGTGGCGGCCCACAGGAGGATCCCTGCGGGACCACCGCTGGATCACCGGTGATCCTCTGGGATCTGGCGGCTGCGAGATGGTGCGGCCCGAAGAGTTCCCCGCTGGACCACCGCGGGATCACTGGTGGTCCTGGGGATCTGGCGTCCGCGGGATGCAGGGCGGGCGGGTCGGGAGGTCTGTTGTTAGAATCTAGCAAGCCCGACCTGTCGGGTAGCCTGTTCTGGGTCCAGCTCCAAGTTGCCCACGAAAGGTTTTACGAAGACTTCCCATGTTGGTGTTCCCGCATGGCCTTCCGGTCGAATGCGGTTGTGGGGAAGTCTGAGGCGAACCGGCCGCCGGCACTGGGCGGGCATGAGCTCCCCGTCCCCCCAGGAGGAGTCTTCTGAGGTCCCTTTAATCCTTTCTGGCAAAACGCTATTAGGAAGTGATTTTGGCCTCTTGGGGGGCCTCTTGGAGCGCTCTGGGCGTGTCTTGGCGGGCCTCTTTGGGGGCCTCTTGGGGCGCTCTTGGAGGACATCTTGGGCGTCTTCAAGCGCGCTTGGGCCGTCTCGGAGCCGTCTTGGCCCGTCATGGGGCCCTCTTGGGATACCCTTGGCCCGTCTTGGGCCCCTCTTCCTTCTTCGCGGGCCCCGCGGGTGCGTTGACGAGTTCGCACCCCCCCTCTCATCGGATGTGGGACCCTTGGGGGGGCGGGGAAGGGGAGGGGGGGACAGCCAAGTATCTCACACGCCTTGTCACCTCCTGCAAGCGGGGATCAGCGGATTCGATGATTAATCAGCCTCGCTTTTCTATTTCTTGTTACCTCCCACCCAATCTCACTTCCTTAATTGGTCTACATACATTTCTGGTAGTTATAATGTCATAATCGTTCTGACTTGCTGTTGGACCCACCTCGCTATCAGTTGAACCATGGGAAATCGCGACGCGGTCACGGGCCAGCCACGGGACAACGCGACAAGTTCACGCGACAACCCCACTGGACAACCCCACGGAGCAACCGCATGGGACAACGTGACCGCCGCCCGGGACAACCGCACGGTGCACAACCACACGGGACGTCACAGGATGATCCACAGGATTAGCCAATCGGCGGCACCGGGACTGCCCAGGACGTCCGCTCCGAGCACGAGGGGCGAGACTTGCTGATTGCTTTGGCCCTGGCCAGGGCATGCTCCCTTGCGCCTTCGCGCAGCCTCGCCTCGCCCGCACGCGCGGCACGAAGCCGAGGTCGATCTCCTCCTCGGCGGGCGGGGGGGGGCATTCCACTCCACTCCAGTCTCGTCCCCCTCTCTCGATGATGCCTTGCCTACCGCACGGCAGGGCCGCAGCTCCCGCAGAGGCCAGTGACAGGGCAGTGCTGCTTCGTAGATGGCCCCCGCGTGGCCGTGCAGAGGCGGTGCGCCGCTGTGCGTCGTCGCGGAAGGCCTGCGCCCCTGATTCAGCGATGTTTGTGGCAGCGCGGTGCTTGGCATCGCTCGGACGTGTGCATTTTTCCTTCGGCGAGGGCCATCGAGGAGCATCCTTGATCATTTGGCGAAAAAACCACGCACGAAACCGAAAAAAACACAGGGAATGGACGTCCGAGCGATGGCCAGGGTGTCTGTAGGGGGCAAGCGCGGCCCAGGTTCAGCCTGTGGTTCCTCCAGTTCTTCTGCACGATGTGGATCAACCTGTTCCAGATCGTCGCCTCCCACGACTTCGAGGTGACCCGGGAGCAGCAGGAGTACCGAGGCACGGGCACGCACCGCGCCCCCCCTCGCCCCGGAGGGGGAGGGGACGGGGGTAGGAGTGAGCGGGCAGGGGGCCGAGCGGGGCGGGAGGGGATGCGGGGGGGAGCGAGAAGGCGGGGAGAGCACCGAAGACAACCAAAGGCCATGAACATAAACCTCTGGCGCTCCGCGCGGATTTCTTGGATCCGCGCTAGGCCCCCCTGGCGGCGCCTCCGGCGCCGCCCCTGGCGCGCTCCGCGCGCCAGGGAGGGGGGTCCAGCGCAGATCCGAGAAATCCGCGCGGAGCACCAACAGTTTATGTTTATGGCGTTTCGTTCCTCTTCTAAGGAGGGGATGCGGGGGGGAGCGAGAAGATGGGGAGAGAAAGGGAGTGGCGGGGACGTTTGGCAGGCAGGCCAACAGAGGTGGAGGTAGCTGAATGTAGCAGCCGAGGGGGCCAGCACAGTGCGGCCTAGTCTCGTCGGCCTCGCGCCGCTACCTGGGCGCTTCCAGTCGGGGCGCTGAAGAAGGAACCCTTTTCGTTGGGGAGGGGCTCGGTCGGGTAATGTTTCACAGCTTGCCTAAAGTTTCCCTTTGGATTTCGATGGGGAATCCAAGTTTAACTTATGAGGGGCCTCGTTCCTTCTTTAAGTTTCCTTTGGTCAACGCCCCGACGGTATGTCTCCGCAAAGGTAGCAGCAGGATCTGTCAGCACCGGCCCGGTGACTGCAAGGGACCTGGCTGCGATGCCGCAGAATGGCAGCAACTCCGCCGCCTTTCGCTGTCAAAGATCACGCCGGAAGGTTTTGACCATCTTCGGCCTCCAGGTGCCCTCGCCTGGACGTCCTTGCTGCAGCCTTCGGCCGGATACATTCCAAGCGAAGTCCGTATCATTCGCCGGCCGGTTGTCTTCCCTCCTTCCTCCTGCTCCTCCTCCTGCTGCCGCGCACGTTGTGTTTTTATGCGACCGCCGTAGTGCCGCCGCTCCCGCAAAGCGGTGAGAATCGGCTGGCCTTGTCTTCTTTCGCCCACGCGCTCCGGCGTATGGCATGAGTGAGTGAGTGAGGTGCCCTTGCGGGGTCCTGTGACCGTCAAAAGCGACCCAGGATGAAACATTGGTCCTGGGGATGGGGTTCAGACTTTTGGGGGGGTCGACGTTGTGACACAAGATCACGACGCCGGTGATCTGGGTATGCAGGACACAGTTGCCTTTGTAAGTGAGACGAGATCGAGGTAATTCCTGGGTTGGGCGGGGGACGGGTTTGCGGCGAATTTCAAAGAAGCGCAAACCTGGATTGAAAGCTTGTGGATTACCGATGGGTCCCATTTCCGTTCAGAATCGGTGCGCTCCGTCGCCACATCGCCAAGCCAGTCGGCACCGGCCTCATGTTTCAGGGTATGTTCCCCTGGCGCCCACGCGCCAGATCCACGGCTTCAGAATCCATGTTGGAATGTGCTCGACCTAGCCCCGGACGAGTAGGACGAAACTCCCCCGCGGGGCAGGGGCCAGGTAGCGGTAGAGACCTTTCGGCCGAGGTACTTCCAACTCGGCCGACTGGTCGAGCCCCCCTGCGGGCCTGCACCGGAGAGGGCCACGGGGCACTGTGCCCGAGCAGCTCCCCTCCCCGCGCACCCTTCTCCCGGCCAGGGCAGGAGGCAGGAGGGAGGATGCCCTTCGGCCCTCGCTGTTCTCGGGGGCAACGCCAGGTTCGGTAGCAAGTCGCGGGAGCCTCGTATACCCTCGCAGTTCCGACTCCAGAGTGGTTAACGTCGATAAGCGGTGGGTTATGGATGAGGTAGGCGACGATTCAGCGTCGACTGGCGTCGGCTAGCATCGACTCGCGTCGATTCAGCGTCGATTCGTGTCGACTCGCAAGGGTTAACAGGATGGGAGGCCCCCACGAGCTGTTACCGAAACGTAAAAGGGGGGGATGCCGTCAGGAATTTTGGCTCAGCGTGTCACGCCGCCGGCTCTGGCCCACCGCGCTTCGATGCGACACGCTCACCACGTCCCGCCCCCCTGGCGTCAAGCTCGAGCCTTTCGCGGCCTCCCGCCGGGCCCCCTGGCGCCAACGTCCCGAGCCATTCGCGGCCTCCCGCCCGGCCCCCTTGGCGTCAACGTCCCAAGCCTTTCGCGGCCTCCCGTCCCGCGGCACGGAGCGACACGGTTCGAGTTCGATGTTCCTGCCCCCCCCCCCCCCCCCGGCGGGCCGCAAGCCCTTCGTGGTTCGGAGGGCTTCCCGAGCGGGAGTGCGGAGAGGAGCCAGGGCTGTGTTGAGAATGTCGCCATTTACGTCCCCTTCCAGTCGTCGTGACATGGTACTCCCCTCCCACCTGGCCCCTCCTCATCCTCGTCGCTCTCTCCTCGCTGCGCTCCTCGCGCTAGAGATGCCAGAATCCCAACCCTCACGTCCGAAGTGCGCTGCCGAACGATGCCAACTGGGCGGGGGGAAAAGGTCATTCGTGGTGCAGAGATTTTCGAACGCAGCGTCCCCTTTGGAGCCACATATGGGATTAACAATCAGGTTGTACGTCTGTGTGTGGCGTTTCTGTGGCTGCACCCATAATCTGCGTCGCGCTGGTTGTATGATCGTTGGCCTGTCAGCTATTTATCGCACTTTTCCCCAATGTAACTTTCTGACAGCTCTTGGCAGATTGGTGAGTTGTGCTGGCCTTTTCCTGATGCTGCTGCTTCCAGCCAGGCATGGACTGGGGCATCTTCCAGATCCAACACGCTCTCGACACCTACGTCACGGGCATCCCTTGGGTGGTCGCTCGCCGTCACCAGCGCAGACGAGTTCGGAACGCGTTGGCGCGTGGTCTGCAACGTGTTCATGCTCATGATCGATTTGACCTCCGCTTGCCTACTACGCTCTTCATATGTTCACGAGTGGCACGTGTGTGTTGTCGTTGTTTGCTGAATGCGCGGTTCTTGGCACTGCGTCTGACGAGGCAGGAGCACTCCAGCGCACGGCCTCGTGTGCAGAGGCTTCCTGGCGGGTAGGACACCCTTCCTCTCTGGAATCCCGGTCTCGGAGCCGGCGGGGGGGTTTCTGAGGTGGCCCAGCACCGTTTCCGGCGAGCAGGGAGGTGGGGCGCGGTCCGAGGCTCTGGCTTCGAGAAGGTTTTTGTATCTTTCTCGTCCTCCGGGGGCCGCTTTCAGGACCCAGCACTGTCCACACGAGCCCGGGGCGGAGAAGTGCACCGGATGACCGGATGGACCCCGGGAGTGGTCCGGATGGACCCATTCTGAACGGATTTGCCCCTATCCCTCTTCTTGGCAGATGTTCTCGGGGCCCATTCATTTCAGACCCCACGGCCACCTCCAATCCCAATCTCAGCAAGATTGAGGAGAGGGAGGGAGGGAGGGAGAGAGAGAGGGTGAAGGCATTGCAGAATTCACGTCATCTTCCTGCTCCAGATCGGCTCATCGAAAGACAAGTTTAGAAGCTTTGTTCCTCTGTGTAAAAGAGCGCACCAGGTGGACATATTCCTTTCTGCCGGCCTGAGCTGCCACAGGGTGCACCACTGCCTGCCGTATCAGAGATCGGGCTTCGCCAACATCGTGTGCATGCCCGCGGTGATCGAGACCTGCAAGGAGACCCGAAGCGAGCCGCTGCCGAGGCGGCGCGCTCCAGGAAGGGCCTCGCCGTCGGCGCATCGTCGCCTTCGGCGGGAGTCGGCGGAAGTAAGGCGGAGCATGACGTCAGGATTGTTGGGGGCACGGTGTCGTCAATCGGCCAGATCACCCTCCTTCGCCAAAGAAGGGGCAAAGGGGAGCGAGCGGATCGGCATGGCAGGATGGGAGAAGAGGAATGCCAGCAGGTGGGACAGTGTGGGTGATGAGAAGGCTTGCGAGGACGGACCCGGTAGCGGAGTGCGCTGTGCGGCAGTCGTTTGCACTGGTTTCTGAGAATCGCAAGCTTTTGCAGATGCACTTGGCATCGGTGTCCAGCGTTGCAAAACATGTGAATCTTTGACATGACATTTGAACGGATATGTGTCGGAGACGGATGGTGTCGTAGGGTGGTTGCGCGACTGCCGAGGAGTTCGATGTGGAGTGGCTTCCAAGCCGCAACCTCATCCTCGATCGCTTCCTCCCGTTGGCTTACTACTACTTGACGGCGCCGGCACAGGCTTCGACGTTGCTTGTGATGTGACTCTCCCGCAGTGCCTCTGCCGCCCACGTTCAGGTGCAGCTTGGCACAGTACGACTGCTGTCAGCACTGGCGTTGCCATCTCGTGCCCCTGATGCCCCCGCAGAAAGAGTCTCCTCCTGAAGTCCTGCTCTCGGCTCATGTCGCGGCCTCCGCCGGCTCCCTCCCTCCCTTCCCTCGTTCATGGACCTCTGTGCGATCACCCCCACTGATAATGCTGGAGAATATGTAAGGGGGATTCACTCCAGGGTCTGGCCCAGGGTCCTCGGCAAGGCTGAGCCATCCCAGAGGAAGAGCAGTAATCCCAAGTGAAGGTGCAGGTGGATTATTCATATCGCTACGCGTTCAGGGAGAGTCTCCAGAGTCTCCCCTCCGCACAAGCGTCAGACATCCCTCCATCCCGCCATCTTGCTCTGATCGCACGATTGATTCTGACTGTTACGTCGTGCCCTCTCGCAGTTGGAGGACTGATGAACAGAGTCGCAATCGTGGAAACGTAAGGTTCCAGTTTGCTAGAACTCGGATCTGCCTTCGCGTCGAGAATCACCATCGTCATCATCACCACGATATGGATGGGCTATTTGTATGGTCAGTTGCGACATGCTAGGGGCGCGACAACGAGAGCACGGAAGCGGACGTTGTGATGCTATCGAAAACGGTTCATGGCAGGCACGCGCACACACTTATGAGCGTCGCCTGCAAGGCTCATCTGCAAACCGTTCCAAGCCACGCACGCACTCACATTTTTGCGTCGGCGGCTGGGCAGTGGGCGACTGTTCTGGCGGATAGGCAACAGGGGACACGCTGTATGCAAATTAGGGCCGCAATGCACGGAATGAGGACGCGGAGCACCGGCGCGACGGGAAAAGAGGAAGCCGGGCCACACAGTTGCCGCTTGCGGCGGGGGGAGCGTCGGGGGGGGAGCAGCGCCGGCACAGGCTGTATTGAACTGCACTGAGCTGAAGCTGGGGTGGGCAGCCAGAAGCTGCAGCTGGTGGTGAAGAGAAAACGAAGCGTAGCCCAACTCTGTGGACCGAGCACAGTCCAGGGATGAATCAATGCGCCGAGACCGGCGGGCCTGCGCGGCGCATGCAAGGACATGGGGAAGGCCAGGACGGACCAGCCCTAGCAGCAGGTACTGCGCCGCGGCCACAAGGGCGGGCGCTGGACCGCACAGAGCTGGAAGCGGCTGAAGCAGGTGCCGAGCGGGGCAGCGCAGTAGCAGCGGAACGGCAGCCATGGGCGGGCCATGGGGGCGGTGCCCAAAGCAGTGGACCAAGGCGCGGTCCAAGGAGGAGCCAAAGCGCCGAGACCTATGGGTCTGCGAGGCACGGGTGTGGAGGCGGAAGGCCGGGGTGGCACCGCTCAGGCAGAGCAGAACGAGGGCGGCCAAAGAAAGGCGACGAAAGGGCGGGAAAGACAAGCGCCCAGAACCTCGACCCGCACCGACGGGAAGGAACCCCGACATCGGCAGCGGTGGGGAACGCCGAGACCAGGCAGAGCAAGGAAAGCGCGGAATGAGGGACGGCCCGGCGGGGCGCGGTGCGGCACCGAGGGCAAGGAAGGAGTAGGGCACCGGGCATCTCCAAGTGGGAGAGCGGCGGGCCCAGGGCAGGCAGAACGAGGGGGGGAGGGGTGACGAACCCGAACGCCAGCTGGCGGCGGGCAGGGAAACCGCGCCCAGCGGAGGGCGGCAAGCCAAATGGGCGAATGGGTGAGCCCAGAGGCAGAGAGCCCACTGAGCAGCAGCCGACATGGGCTAAGGAGCGACAGCGGCCAGACACCGGTAGCTGGTGCTGGGGAGGTGGCCAGAAGACCAAGCAGAAGGGGGGGGGACACAGGCACCGAAGCGAGGGTCGTCCGGCTGGCGAAGCACG